TAGAAAAGTACATGAATTTGCCAGCTCTGAATTTAAACAAACAAACAAACAAAAAACTTTGCCAATTTACGCATTCCATTGATTACTGGTGAGGTTTCAGATTTTTAAATTTGCATATCTTCTTTTGTAAGCCATACTCTATCTATTTTTTAATGGGTTGTTTACATTTTCCTAAATGTATAAAGGCCTTGGATAGTAACATGTTGAGGATATTACCCCTCTGTCAAACTTACTGTAAACATTTTCCTGAGTTTGTAATTTGCTTTTTAAATTTTGTTTGTGGCATCTTCTTTTTTGATAAAGTTTTAAAACTTAAGGGTTTGGTATGATTTAGGATTGGGTTTGGCTGCAAGCAATTAAAAAGCCAACTACTTGCACAGAGAGGTACTGACTTGTCTTGAGCTACAGGAAGTCTTAGGGTTGACTGTACGAGGCTGACACAATGGCTGCATGAGGCCCCCAAGAACCCAGCTCTTTCCTCTTTTCTGCTTCACCACTCAGCAGGTTGCTGTGGTGCTCATGCTTGTTGCCTCGTGGTTGCAAGATAGCTGCTCTAACTCCAGACACTATGTCTTTGTCCCAGGCAGGAGGAAATAGGAAGGCCCTAGTGCCAAAACCTTTCCTTCAAGCTTTGACTCTTTATTCCAAAAGGGAAGCTCTCTCAGGGATTTCTGTTGATATCTTACCTACCAGAACTGGGTCACATAGGCACCCCAGCTTCAAGGAAGCCTGGGGTGTCAGATAGTTTGTCTTGAGAAAGGCAAAAGTGAGGAGGTTTGTGAATGGCTTTTCCACAGCAGATTCCTAGTGTCTGCCACACTGTGTTGTTGGAGGATGACTATACAGTGCTCTCAAGCTGTGCATACAATCACGTGGAAGTATTGTTTAAATGCAGATTCAGTAGGTCTGGATGGGGCCTAAGATTCTGCATATCTAACAAGCTCCCAGGTGATGCTCTATTAGTTACTATTACTGTGAAACAAATCTTCCCCAAACCTCACAGCTCACAACAACTATTTTATTTGCTATTCATTCTTCAGGTGTCACCTAGGATCACTCTTAGGGCTGCAGGCACTTGGCAGATTTAATAAGGCTTGATGGCCTAAGATAGCCTATTCCCACGTGTGGTGGTTGATACTGTCAGCTGGGCCTCTTTCAGGTGGCCATTTGTTCTCCAGCAGTGCTGTCTGGACTTCTTCCCATGGTAGTCTCAGGATTCCAAGAAGGTGAGAGAAGACATAGTAAAGCTTCTTGAGCTAGGCTTAGAAGTCCCACAGTGTCATTCTGCCACAATCCATTAGTTTAAGCTAGTTCAGCCCAGATTCATGGTGTGAGGAAATAGAGCCCACCTCTTGGTGAGTAGGGCGACAAAGTCACCTTGAATTCTAGACTCCTTTCTGAGTTACTTGCTGATCTTTTCACCAGGAGATCCCTCAACATATCCCTACAGAGAGGTGTACATGTAGGAATGAGAGAAATTGTTGCAGCTCTCTGCTGACAATCCACCTCAGATACCAATGCCTCTGGTTCCTGGACCCTATTTGAGTAGTAAAGATTCAGAACAGTGGTTCTCCACCTTGGCTGCATATTGGAAGTGCACAGGAGCTTTAAAAAAGACTAATGCCTGCTGGAGATAAAGATATGGTTGGTCTGGGCATTGGTCTTTTTTTAAAGCTCCCAGATGACTCTCCAGCATAGCCTAGGTTAAGAACCACTGATTCAGAAGTCTCTAGAGTAATCCCCAAGTCTCCAATGGAGTGTCTGAGAAGATGGTGGTGAATACAAGAGGAGCAGGTTGGGAATGGGAAGAGTATTGATAAGATGATTTAGGGATATGTTGAGGGATCTCCTGGTGAAAAGATCAGCAAGTAACTCGGAAAGGAGTCTAGAACTTCAAGAAGAGTTTTGCGTTAAACACAAAGATTTGGGAGTTATGAATGGGCCAATTACAAAGCTAGGGTTCCATGGAACTCACTTCGGAAAATCCTGGGGCTGCAGATAGTAGGCTGTCAGTTCAGTGAAGCCTTGATGACCTGTGAGTGCCCAGGAGGCAGGGACAGTCTTTGAGGTTCTAAGAAAGTTGGCCAGCACCTCCTGGTCAGTAGTTGTGGATTCATTCAACCAGCATTTGAGAGTGCCATTAATGTGCCTGGCAGAAGATTAAATGACCAATGGAAATGCCTTCAGGATCAGCTCTGAAAGCAAATAGGAAGTGGGTGACACCATGAACATGCTGGGGGAGGTGTCTCGGAAGCTCACATCAGCCTCTCAGCATGGACTGCCTGGAACACACTTTCATTGGGGGCCACTTGTGGGGAAGATTCATCTCTTAGCTGATTGTGCCTGACACATGGGGTTGACTAAGGGAAGAAAGCTAACATTTAAACTATTAGGTACCAGGCACTGTGATAGCTATAAATGCATTTTCACTGAGCAAAGCCCAGAAGGCAGGCAGTGTGGGGCAGTAGTTAAGAGCTTGACCTCTGGAGCTAGATGACCTGGGTTCAAGCCCCAGTTCTCCTACTTACTGTGTGTTTTAGAGCAAATTACTTCACCTCTCTGAACCTGTTTTCTCTTCTACATATCATTCTGGCAAGTGCTCAACAAGTTAAGCGACATTTAGTACCTGAGCTAAGTCCCAAATGAATGTTACCGTCTTTTGATGATCCTTACACTTATCCCATGAAGCAGGTATCCTGGTTTACAGATGAGAAAACTGATGCTTAAATAGGAGAATGACCTGCTTAAGGGCCACGGCAATTCAGGAGTGGAGTCAAGATGCAAACCATAGGCCCCCCCATGGTTGCATGGCTCCCGCTATTCCCTCCTGCTCCCAGAGAGTGGAAGTACGGGCCACTCCACTCCCCACCCCTACCCCCTCTCCTAAGGACAGGCCACCATCCCAGCCAACTCCACTTCCCTTCCAGGTTGCATCAATGATCGAAAAATACAGCTGAGGCAGCTGTTCCACTCCCTTCAAGGCCAGAAGAAAGCTTCCGGCTAATCCCCAGCCGCTGGGAGGAAAGCGACTCTGGAAGGTGCCATGCCAGCCAGTCCTCTCCTCACTCCATTTCCAGCACAGCAGCACCTCAGATCACTCTCCTCCCTCCCTCTGGCTGAGCCACATCTACTGCTTGCTGCTTGGGCCCCGCCCCCTGGATTCCCACACCCCACCCCTGGGTATTTGCACCAGGAGACAGCTAGGTCTCCTAGGACTGAATAGGTTTTAATCTTAACAGATTGGCTTGGTGATCAGGCCCAAAGAGAATAAGTGCAGTAAGTTCTGCTACACCAGAGAGATCACGTCTAATAAATGAGCACAGCCCTTACTCAGTCACTGGGCACCGGGCCTCGCTCAGGGAATGCTGTCAGCTGCAGCCACATCCTCCTGACTTTGACCCATTGATGTCACCCAAGAGGTCAGTGCTGAAAGGATCCTCAAGGAACAAGAGCTCGGGGGCTGGGGAACTTGTCTTAAGCTGTGCTTGCAAAGCAAGCAATGAGATTGTTTATTGGGGTTATGGAGGACCGAACCCTAAGTACATCTTCCCCTCTTTGTAATACCCTGACGTTGCATGTCAGGGGAAGCTGTAGAGCTCTCCTGATCATCTGAAAACCAGTATGCCAGAGCATCCCCATTTCTCAGATGGACAATGGAAGGATCAGGAAGGTAGAACTGCTTAGTGACGGTCCCTGCAAAGGTGTACTTTAAATCAGCTGGGTGATCTCGGTGCCTTTCTGGGTCTTCCTGCTCAGGTTGGGAGCTGAGCTTTTTAAACCGGAAAGCCTTGGGCTGGCACACAAGGAGATGGCTTAGGGAGTTGGGCTCAAGTAAAAAATGTCTCCTTTTCATTCCTACATTCCCATGCCACCTCTTGGTTTAATAGGGGTGGTCTGGTGGGCTAACTACTCTATGGGAGACCTCGCATGGGACCCCAGGCAATTCCCTCTACCACTCTCTGCTTCAGGACAGTTCTGTTGGCTGCAGATAGCAGAATCTGACTGCCCAGAGAAGGGCTTTTGGAAGGAAAATACTGGCAAATCCAGTTAACCTTGGAAGGCCGGAAGCCAGGCCGCTCTGGACCTGCCTCAAGCATGGTAACTTCCCTCCATCCCTGATACTGAAACGAGCCCTGACAGCCTCAAGCATAGGTTCCACCTTTCCAGCAGAATCTGTTTGACTTTTTCACATAGCACCCACCTTGCCAGACAGGTAGGGGCAATGTTCAAACAGAAATTGTAAAATGGGCATTCATACCAGATAGTATCCACCAAAGTGAATGCTGCAACTCCCAACTTTTAAAATTTATATTTAAAAATATGCAACAGCAACATTCTCTTCGCCCCAACCATGCAGTTTCTGTTCCAAGGGAACCACATTAGTGATTACATACAAATCACCAGCTTATTAGACACCTGCCTGCTGCTTGCTTTTCTCACTTAATCTTGGAGCATGTTCCAAATTGGTGCTCAAAGAGTTTCTTTATTCTTGTTTATAGCTGTGTAGTATTCCACTACCTAGAGCTAATCAGTTCTTTAACTAGTCTGTGAACAGACTGTTTCCAATTCCATCTCCCTACTTCTTAGGGCCATCATGGGAAAAACACTGGAATTTCTACTAAAAAAACTCAAGAGAATGCAAAATCGTAGGTCTGAGCCAAATGTGACTTATGTATTTTGTTTGGCCAATACCCGTTACAAAAATTTTCTAAATTAGCAAGATTTAAAAAACAAAAAATCCAACTTAAAAATCCAAATTTCTAGCCCTCTTGAAGAAAACTTAAGATTTGGCCATACCAGCCTGTGTTCTCACATAATTATTGGCAGGCGCTGAGTGGAGCAAGGGGAATGGCAGTGTGCCCTCTCCATTTTGCCATTTGTTGTTACTGCCCATCTAATCCCATCATTTCAAGGAGGAACCACTGTCCCTTCATAGGTGGTATCCTAAAGGGAATGGTGTGCCCTCAAGGTCTGAATGTGATAAAGACTTGAAGGTACTATTCATTCACTCAGGGAACATTTATTGAGCCCTCAATGAACAGGAAAGACACTGTGTTGTCCTCACAGCACATTTACATTAGGACCCGAGACCACTGAAGGCAGACGGGAACTCTGAAACCAGCACTGGCCCCAGGACCTGCTTTCAGAGGTGGTGGAGGGGCATCCTGAATGCACAGAGCACGTTAAGGGGCAGCCCCCCTCACTCATCTCCGGTGCAGGGTTCTATAAGGCCTTCCTGACTAAAAAGCAGCTGCGGCGGATTGATAAGCAGTGCCCACTCTGCTCCATATGGGAGAAAGCAGAAAACACAGGCTAAAATGGAGACAGTGGAGGAAAATGGTGTGTCTGCTCCACAGATGACTGTGGTGAACCATGAAGCACCAAGATTCTGTCCTTTTTTCAGAAACCACCTGTGAGCCTCCTGTTTTTATTCTAATTCTGTTGAAAATGTCTTTCTCCTTTTCTTAGAGGAATGCTGGAATGAAGCTCCTATTCTTCCCCTCGCCCTTCTTTCTTGCCCAGGGCCCATCTGAACAGCAGGCCACTGTTGAGAAGTGCCTGTTGCAGTCATTCTCATACCCCCACACACTCACTGGTGGCTGCCAAGGCCTGTCAATGGGTCTTGTGTCCATCTAGCCCCAGTGGTTAGGCCAAGCAGACACTGGCAAGTGAAGGGTTCCCTCCCACCATCACAGAGCAGCCAAGTGCTATAGATAAAGAGGCTTCGGACAGGAGTCATGGCTGAATTCCTGACACCCGTCCCTTTACAGGGTAAATCCTGTCCTTTTAGGTTTCAAGGTTACAGAGTCCTAGGTCCTTCATGACCCCAGTGTGGATGCTGGTCTTAGGTCTCCCATCTTGGTTCTTGAGTTTCATCCTTTCAAGATGATCTTGAGAGCTTTAAGCTCATCCTGGTTGAGGGGGTTCAGGTTAAAACCCTTCAGCTCTGGTTTGCCTATAGGGAGAAAACAATCTATCAGTGGGTGAGTCAGGCCTCCTGCTTTCCAACCTACTGGCCCTGAAGTCAGGCCCAAGAAAGGGGCTTACACTGCATTCATGCTGCCAAACTCTTGACCTTGGGTTCTGAAGGGGAAGGGCCTCAAATGTGCAATGCACTGAATAACGTACACTGACACCCATTCCTGAGTTACCAAGAATCTAGAGAGTCATGACTCTGCTATCAGAGACCTCCAGATTTCTGCCAGCCCTGTGACCAATCTGGAGTGGTTAGGTTTACCTAGAAATTGCTCTGATCTCAACCACCTGACTCAGGCCTTCTGAGTTCTTTTAGTCAGAGCTATCCTGGTCCCTACACCATGCCCTGGCATATAATGTGAGATACCTCAGTCTCATCCTGGTACCTGGAAAAGAACCTGTGACAGAAAGAAGACCCCATAAACTAGAGACAACCACTGCCCAATGCCCACAGCCTCAGTGCCACTCAAGCCATCATTGCCCACCTGGGGGCGCTTCTCACCCCTGCCCTTCCAAGTCCATGTTGATCGTTCTCTCCCCTCCTGGTTTTCTGTCCCCCTCCAAACCTCCCCCTTCCTGTGCTCCAGGCCAATACCTTGAGCCTCGAAGAGACGGTTGACCTTCACTTTAAGTTGTTTCCGGAGTTTCTCTATTTCTTTATCCAGATGATCCTGATCTGAAAAATGAGATAAGCAAACAGGATGAGGTTATACCAGACTGACCCAAAAGGAGTTGGGGATGCCAGCCTCTCTCTAGCTCCCCTTGAGAGCAAAGGCTCTTAGCATTCAGGAAGGAAAAGGGGACTCTGGAGACCAATTGAGGAAAAAAACTAAAATCTAGAAAAAGGATGTGACTTGCTCACAACCACTGAGTGAGTCCAGAACCAGACTAAGCACACCAGTCCCCTCTCAGTCCCCAGACTTGTTTTCATCATGCAAAGTATCTTAGGCTGGTCAGTATATAGGGAAGGCAACATGACGACTTTAGGTCACCCTCCCATAGTGAAATTATGGAAAATTCAAATGTGAGAACAAAATGAAGAACCTAGACTCAGTCTACCCTAAGATGGTTAGAAAATGGGTGACTAAAGGATTTTACAAACCCAAGTCCATGAAGGTGAGGGGTTTTTAGAAAAGCATGATTGTAGTAACACACAAACTTAACATAAACAATCAACGGGCAAGCCAAATGCTCAAGTTTAACCTAATTAGACACAGTAAATAGAAAAGGTTATCTTACAGACGGTACTTGAAGACAAACTGCATTATGAGAAGTGGAGGCTAACAAGCTCAATGATACAACTGATTAATGCCACCCAACCCATTCTACCTGCTCCATTTTCACCTGCTCATGGGAGACATGCTAGCAGGTTTGTCTTCCCCACACTTTCATTCTTTCTGATGGGGAGAAGCCCTGACCAGCCAAGCCTCCTGGCCGGGGAAATGGTTCTACTCAATGTTTTAAAGTGGTTTACTCAACGTAAACAATTAGCCCAGTCTCTCATGAGATTGTTGAGCCTATGTCAATTCCTGAGAACCAGAGATGATGATGTCCCAGAATCCTTCTAAGTTTGGTGACAAGACCACATTTGTGGGCCAAGAGAGCTGAGGACCAGATTCTGAACCCACATAAGTGACCCCTCTGAAAGCTTAGCCTGAGTGGCCTCCAGCACACTACCCAAGTGCAATGACAACTTGTAATTTTATAAACATAATATTAGTGTATGTTGTTTAACAGGGCAGCTGGAAAATTCTCCCCCAACCTGATCTAGTTTCCTTTGCTAAAATTTTGATTTCAACAGAGACAACCTGTCTTCAGGGATGGAGACAACCTTGGTGGTCCTCTTGGCCCTTACATTTTCAAGGGTGGGAAAGAGAAAATATGCTAAGGACCCACTTGCCACCTGACTTTTTGTCTTTATGATGCCTCTCCGAAGAGCTTCAAGGACTGTGGTTAGTGAGACTTAGTAACATCTGTTGAACACCAAAGCTTTGGCAGATCCTAGAGGTTCACTCTCTCCAAACTCCCATTTTTAGCCCAGTGTCTCTTGCTGGGGATGTAAAAAATAAAAGCTCACTCTTCCAGGCTCCCTTGCAGCTATGGGTGGCCATGTGACTTAGTTCTGGCCATAGAGATGTCAGCAGAAGTCCCTGAGGATGACGACCTTAATTCCAAAATAGAAAGCAAGGCCGCATATGGAGAAAGCCCTTTGCCTTTCCTCCAGTCTTTCATGTGGGCATGAGGCCTGCAATGATATACCATGACCATGAGGATGTACTAAGGTGACAAGGCTGAGCAGCAGTGCCAACCTCAAACTGCTGATCTCTATACAACCTCTTTCATGAGAAAAACAGACTGTATTATCTCAAGCCTCAATTTGTTGGGTTTTCTGTTATTTGTGGTCCAACTTGTTTCTCACTAATAAACAAGCAGTATGCTAGGCACACATACTGTTTTTTTTTCAACTTCGCAACTATGCTATAGAGATGTACCACCCCGCTTAGAGATGATGAAATAGAGGCACATCAGTCTGAACCCTTTAACACAGCCACTTCTCATCGAGCTGTCCAAAGCCTGATTCTCAGTTCTGTGTTTAGACTGAAGCTGGTGGGGGAGGCAGCTGTGTCCCTGACCCATGCCCAGAAGGCCTTACCTTTCTCAATCATTTCCTTTGTCTGAGGGTGAGGCATCTTGATAAACATGTTCCCGAAGCAAACCATCACATCTTCTGAAATGGTAAATGGTCATTCCTTCAACAAGTATCTTTGAGCACCTACTACCTGCCAGTCATTGTTTTAGATGCTGAGAACACAGAAGAACAAGACAAAGTTCCTGCTCTCATAGAACTTAATTTAAAGTGGAGGAGGGGGAATAAACAAGGAAAGATATCATTTGTCAGACCCTGACAAGTCTAAGAACTGTAGAGAAAAATAAACCAGGGTAAGACAGATGGGGAATTCTAGAATAGAAGAGGGACTTTTTATACCAAGTGGTCTGAGGAAGCCTCACTGATTATGTGACATCTGGACAGAGATCAGAAGAAAGTGAGGATATGAGCCCTGCAGACATCTGGGGAAAGAGCGAACCAGGCAGAGGAAACAAGAACAGTGAAGATCAGTAACATGCTTGGGGTGTTAGAGGAACAGCAAGGAGACCAGTGAGAATGGAGTCAATGAGTGAGGGGGAGAGTAGAGATGATATTGGAGAGTTCAAGGGCATCTGGATTACATGGGGTCTTACAGGACTCTAGATTTTACTCTGGTGAGATGAGAAGCAACTGGAAGGTTTCAAATTTTCCAATGTACTTTAAACAAAATTCAAACTTTTCCCCTTCATTATGGCCTGGCCTCTGCCCATCTTTCCAGCTTTGTCACATGCCCCTCCCCCTTGCTTACTCTGTCACAGCTACTTGACCTCTAAAAAGCTCCTATCCCCTCCTCCAACACAACACCTATCCCACATCCAGTCCCTTCTTCAGCTTTCTGTTTTCAATGATGTATTTATGTTGTTCTACTCATCTGTAGAGCACAAGTTTAGAAACCGAACTGTTTTTATTCCCCACCTCCCAGTTTTCCAGTGCCATCACTGATGACCTGTCATCAAGGCGAGCAGCTGAAATACTGAACCACAGTCTGTGTCAGACCTGCAAAATTTTCTCTCCTATCTCCATGGGCTGTGTCACAACCTGTGGCCTCCTGCCTGGTCTCTATTAAGGACAAGGCAAAGGCCTTAAACAGAAAGCTGAACAGGCCTCCTGGGCTACAGTGAGGAAGTCTTGACTTACCAGAGAGACTGAGATCCTTCTGCAGGGCCCTCAGGCCCTCTCGGTTCTGATTCCTTTTGGTGTCCAGGTCCACAATCTGAGAAGCACAGAGGCAAGAGGGAACTCAGTTACCTCTTACCCCAGCCTGTCACCTCCCAACAGACCAGAAGCTATTAAAACCTAACAGAAACAATAAGATATCATTCCTGGGTTACTACCAGTGTCCAATCTAAAATGGATTGATGTGTGAATCTCTTTCTTACTCCTACTCAGCTTCCAGGTCCTTAAAGACCATGCTTTGTGCAGGTGTCTTCCCCCCGAGAGAAGGTGCTGGGGAAAATGCCGACAAAACAGGTAATTTTGTATTATTAACTGGAATGCTAGTTCTCAAGCTTTAGGGCATATGGACAAGTTCTTCCAGCTGATCCTTAACTAGTATCAAGAGAAGCCCAACAATACTAGACTGGATCAGGAGGGGGTAGGGCACTGGGATGGTAACAACACAACAGCTACCAAGGAAGCGAGGCAGTATAATGTGGTGCTAGAGAAAGGTGGCACTGGAGCCAAAATATCCAGGTTTGAATCCTGCTGCCTGCCGTGCACTGTGCAATTTCACCTTCCTATTTGCTTCTCTGACAAATGAAGATATGATCAATACCTCATAAGTTATTGAGCCAGGAACAAAATGAATTAGTACAGTACTTGACACACAGTAAGTACTTGGTAAACTGCTATTATCATCACCAAGCACACCATGACGCAGTGTTTAATAGGCTCTTACCCACATCTTCTCCTTCTCAGTAAACACCCCGCAGGCCAATCATTCTAACTAGAGAAGAGTCATGACTTCATCTTCTTGACTCCTCCTACTCCCTCACCCCTGTCTGTAACCATCATTGATACCTACTCAGTCCATCTCCAAAATATATTTTGACCCATCCCTTACCTAGTCTGTGGCAATGGCCCCCACCAGGCCCTTGTCCCCTTATATTCTGTGCTCCACGGAGCAGCTAGAGGGATCCTTTTAAAACCTAAATCCAATGACCTCGTCCCTCTGCCCACCATGAAATCCCTTCAAACACTCGGCACTTCGATTAGAGCCAGATCTAAACTTCCTGTTCAGGTCTACAAGGCCCTCCATGATCCAGGACCCATGTTCCTCCCGCGTCTCCACCCTTGCGCAATCAAACAACTCAGGCCTCTCTTCCATTCCTCTCTTCCCCTCAGAACCTTGATTGGGACGGTGCAGGCCAGGTCAATGAGGGGGCCCAGGAACTGCATTTTGAAAAAAGTGTTCAGGTTAAGCGCCCAATGGATCCAAGGGGCAATGGATCGGGATCCGGAGAGCACAGTAAGGGGCAGAGGAAGGATAGAGAGAGGGGATGCCTAGTACAGGGCAGGCGCTCACCTAATACGTGCCGTATAAATGGATGCAGCGCGGCGCTGTGCCAAGCAGAGAGAACTGCCCTGTCTATGGTCACAGCTGTTAGAGCATCAACCCGAGTCAACTCACTGCCAATTAGTGCTGGAGCCAAATTCCGTACCCCGTGCGCTTCCCTACGGCGCTCGCCACCAGGCCCCAACAGCCGAACCCCGGCCCCAGCGCCGCGGACGGTCCACCTACCTGCCGCTTGTCCGCTAACACCGCCTCGGCGAGCTCCTCCACTTCTACCAGGTACCGCAGCACCCGTTCGGCCTCGGGTGACAGCATGGTACCCGCCAGCTCCGACCCCGCTAGGCGACACCCGGCCTCAAGTTCCCCTCTAGCTCTGCCTGCGCAGGCGCTGCTCTGAGACGGGCTTCCGGTGCGCATGCGCATTAGAACATGAACGGCGGTGCGCAGGGTCCAATGCATGCGCGTCAGCCGAACGCAAGAGGCGGGGCCTCGTTTGGGGGCGGGGTTGAAGTTTCCCCTGCTGTCCGCAGTGCGGCCTCAACCTCTCCCTTCCTCCCTTTATGTATTCCTGAGCAATTATTATGTGCCGGGCAGTTTTAGGTACTGAGGATGCAGCAGTGAACAAAACAAAGTCCCTACCCTCATGCAACTTCATTCTAGTGGGAAACAACGGTAATTAATGACAAAACAAATAATTATATACTATGGAAGGCAGTGATAGGGCTTTGGAAAAATATATCATTCTTCCCCTGTTCGGGGCACACCAAGGAGGCCTGTGTGGCAGTGTGACATATTTAACCTCTGACACCTTCAGTTTCCAAATAGAAATGAATAAAAATCCTCATTGTCTTTCCCCAGGATCGGAAGGAGGCAGGAATCATTTTTAATTCACTTTGACCAGTGTTCATTGACCTCCTGTGTTGGGCTCAATGTCAGGAGTAGTTGATCTAGACCCAAGGAAGGGCCTGGAAAACCATAGGCAGTGAGCAACGAAGTGCCAGCTTGAAAAAGAAGGTCCATATGTGCTGGGAAGTGAATCCATGTGGGTCGTATGATCCGGGAGGACCTCCGAGAAGAGGCTGGCAAGTGAAAACTGGCCGTCTTTCAGAATCAGAGAGTTCCCTAGAGATCATGTCCAAACCTTTCATTGTACAGGTGGAAAAATCAAAGCTCAGAGAGTGGTGAGGACTTTAAAAAATCAATAGCAGATCTGGTATTAGAACTCTGACCTCCTGCCTCCCTAAGTCTAGCTTTCTATTCTATTCTTTTGGCCCCTTGTGACCAAGCACTTTCACACCCCTTGCCTTACTTGAATTTCCCAACCTTGTATGGGTGGGTTATTCCTTCCCCATTTCACAGCTGCAGATTCAGGCTGGGAGACGGGCAATGCCTTGTCATGCAGAAAATTGGGAGCCAGCGTGGGTCTAGAAGCTCTCCGGTCTCCATACCACAGCTATCTTAGGATCTGAAAAAAAGCCCTCCTCTAAACTGTGGCCCTAGAAGTCTCAGTGGCACCTCCTCTTTGCTTGGCTTTTGGCTGTCTTCAACTGCTGGAGGCAGAGCTAATTTTCCCTGTAGCTGCCTGGTATAGAGAAAGAAAGATTCATTAAGAATTCTTCATTGAGGGTGAATTTGTCGCCAAAATCAGGGTGTTTTGTGTAAACACCTTCTGGTTCAGAAACACAGACACAAGCCCTGGGAAGGAAGGGAGAACATTTGCCAAGGGAAAAATGGGCCTCACCAGGCATCACTGGAGCCTGGACCCCAGAACCAGGTCTCCTCCACCTTGGGGCCCAAAGAGGACTGGACTAGGCTGACCCCTGACCCCTGCCAATGGGCCTGGATGGGAAAGGGTTGAGGGAGGCTGCCAAATTGGTCACCTCTTGGCTGTGACAGGCCCTTAGAGAGCACCCCTGACTACTGGAAGTGTTGGAGAGGGAGGTCATGTCCAAGCCTTTGAGACAGTCAATCTTGAAAGGACTATTGTTTCTGAACCATCGATTTCACAAATATTTATTGACTACCCTGGCTCAGTTATAGGGATTCTGCCATGAACAAAACCAAACATGGTCCTTGCCCTCAGAAAGTTTCCAATCTGGTGGAAGAGACAGACAATAAACACTTGAACAAGTAAATATGTCATGCCCAGGTGGTGATAAGTGCTCTGGAGAACAACAGAGAAGGACAAGGTAAAGATGGAATGATGGAGGGGCTATTTGAGATCAGGTGGTCAGGGAAGACTCTGAAGAAAGAGGTGGCACTTGAGCAGAGAGGTGGAGGGAGTGAGGGGGTGAGCCATGTGGATATTTTGAGGAAGAGCATTCCAGGCAGAGGGAAGAGCAAATGCAAATGCCCTGGAACTTGGAAGAACAGCAAGACCAGTGTAGGTGGAACTGAATGAGCAAGGGAGAGAAGGTAGGAGATGAGGACAGAAAGGGGGAGGAGGCACTGAACATGCGGGGCTATAGAAGGGGCTATAGATGCCCTTCCCAAATTGGCAAAGCCCTCCTTGGAGGTCACCTGCTGACATTGCCATGCATGCCTGTGGCTTCCTGCTTCTCTCTGCTCATGGATTGAGTGGGGAATGTGGTGAGTTAATGCCCACAGGAGTGGCCTTCAACCAAGAAAAGAAAGGAGTTAGTGGCTGCATAACCCAGCTTCTTTGCCTTTTTGTGGGAGACCCAAGAGGAGGCTGTTAAAATTACCCAGGTAAGATAGATTGGTTGCTGGAGCAGAGGTAGCAGTGGGGCTGGTGAGCACCAGTGGAATTCTCAGGGACCTTGCACACATTCCTCAGTCAGCCTGGATTAATTTTCTCCCACATCTTTGTACCTGCGTAACTACTACATATATCCCACTTATCAGCTTGTTGTCACCTCCCCCTACAGGTCAAGAGTCCCCACTTAGCCCCCACAGCTTCCCGGGCTTCCCCCACCTCTACACTTATCATAACATCTTTTTTCTGTAATAATCTCCCTTGCCAGTTATGAGCTCCTCAAGGCAGGGACCTTATGTCTTGTTCGCTGCTATGTCTCCAGAACCTAGAATTGTGCCTGGCACACAGTGGGTGATAACATCTATCACTTTCCAGGATGATAATATAATTTACTTATATTATTTACAGGATGAAGGAGTAGACTCAATATGAAGTAGAACTTTCTAAAATCCAAAGTCTCCAAAGATGAACAAGCTAACTCAAGGGTAAGTGATTGCCCATCCCAGAAGGTATGCAAAGCTGGACTGCCACATGGTTGAGATATTGCAGAGGGTGAGTTCCTCTGCAGTCTTAGATGGGGGTGATATCCACTAAGTCTTTTCTAACCAGATAAACTCAACCTGGTCAGACTGAAGGAATGCCTCCCATCTTTAGCCACCTCAAGCCTGGGCCAGAAAGGAGGTGGCTGCTGGAGCTTTGGTGTTTGGGGACTGACCAACTTCATCCATTCCCCTTGGATCCCTTTTTACTACTTTTGTGCACCCCTCCTTGGTAAGTGTTCAGTAACCTGCACTCACTTCTCTTCTTGGAGGGGACTGCCATCAGGCTGCTGGAACCTCCTGAGGGGACTTATCCTCCCCTTAAGCTGTAACCCATCATTTCAGGGATATGAAAGCTCACCTTCCCTGCTTGGGCAGCTGGCGGGGATGTGGGTGGATAACTCTGAGGTATAATTACACTCAAGGTCTCCTGTGGGATTGGGCTGAAGCAAACACCCACAAGACATCCGCAAGCCCTACTTGGCTTCCTCTCCTTCCCAGTCGTGCCTCCTCTACTCTTTTATGGTCAAAACTCTCCAATGCTCCCATCTCATTCAGTAAAAGCCAAACTCATGACCAAAGCCCATAAGGCCCTGCATGACCTGCCCTACCTCTCTAGGGCATCTCCCACCTCTCTCCTCACCTCCTTGCCGTTCCTCAAACATGCTAGGCACAGTCCCACCTCAGGACCTTTGCACTGGCTGCTCCCTGTGCCTGCACTTCCCCTTGACATCAATATGTCTCCCTTCTTCATTTCCTACAAGTCTTTGCTTAAATCCCACCTTCTCAATGTTGCCTACCCCAACCACCCTAATCAAAAATGCAACCCCTGCCCTTCCCAGTACTCCTGATCAACTTCCTCTGTCCTACTTTTCTTTTTTTAAATAACACTTATCACTTTCCATGAGGGTGGGGAATCTTTGTCTCATTTGTTACTGATATATCCCAAATGCTTAGAACAGTGCCTGGCCCATAGTACGTACTCAATAAACATTCTTGAATGAATGAATAAGAAAAAGAGCCAGAATTGTAACCAAGGCAGATACTCTCCGAGGTCAGGCTCTTAACCCCTACGCTGGAAGTAGGGAGTGGAAGTGACAGATCACCGCAGGCCTTGCTGGCTAAGGTAAGGGAGTTGTATTTTGTTCTCAGACCAGTGTGAAGGTTTTGAGCAAGCACAGAACATGATTGGGCTTACTTTGTGAAAGCTCCCTCTTTCTGTGTGGATAGGATGAGCTAAAATGGGCAAGTGTGGTACAGTCCTCTGGGTGTGTGTGTGTGTGTATGTGCATGTCAGTGGTGGGAGGGTGATGATGGGGACTTGGAGAGGTGACAGGGCTGTGTCTGCACTGGGGCTGGGAGCAGCAAGAAACCAGCTCATATTCTATTTCTCCAGGCAGCCTGGGAGGCTGCTTCATGGGCTCTGGACTGTGAGTAGTCCAGGCCGGGCCTTCCAGCTGCTGACAATATGTCCCTGTCTCACAGATGGGCTATTTGCTCTCCTGGGTGGTCCCCATCTCCTCTCTCTGCTTCCTTTGCGCCCCTGTGGGCTTGGCAGGTGGAGGGGAGGCCTCCACTCCCTCTCCTCTCCTGACCCAGAGAATAATCCTTTATATTCATGCGCTTCTCCTTATGTCCTCACTTCATCCTCCCACAGCCCCCAGTTACAAGGAAATCTGATTCCCATTAGGCTGATGAGGACATTGAGGCCTGGAAAGGGGATGGGACCTCCCAAGGTCATGAAGCCAGATGGGGACGCTAGGTGGGGAGCTGCCTCCCAACTCCCCACCCCTCGATTTCATCAGGCAACAGATGGTCCCAAGGTTTGACCTCAAAGAGAATACAAGCCCAGAACGTTTCAGGCCTCCCTGAGCTGGTCTTTACCACTACCTTTCATACTAAATCCATTCCTTTTAAATTCCATGAATAGATTCTTTTTATTGAAAATGAAAACATGACAGAGAAAAATAAAGATTCTTTTTGACACTCCTCCCCCACCTCGGTTTGGGTGTGTATTTTCAGAACTATGATATTTGGGTTATATTTTCAGAACTATGATATTTATTTAAGGACATAGTTAGGAACGCAAAGAACATATATAAGACTATTATGTACATGGCAGAGTAGGAAGGTGGGACAGAGAACATTACACTAAAA